CTCTAGTGTAGGAACAGGTTACTAGTAGAGTCAGACTAGAAGTGTTAATTCTGAAGATGTTCTTTCATGTGGAAAATATGACACTAGAAATAAGAAATTCTCACAGCTTTTGATAGTGTACTATTTGGGTTTAATAATTTAGAATGGTTATTTATAGCGGATGGCTGACCTCTGTGAAAGAGGAAATTGGTGCACGTTCAGAGTTCTTCTTTCCCACCCTCATGAAGCCACAACCGTACTATGAACCTTTTATTGCATTAAAGCTCTGATTGCTTAGTGGCAAGATGCTGCGTTGCAATCCTGAAGGCACACAGTTCATATCCACTAGCCACTCCACTGGAGAAGGATGGGCAGTCTCTTCCCATGCAATCCCATACTTGCCAGAGAGTCAGCTATAGGTTGGTTCAAACTCTTTGATACACAACAACATTATCAATTATAATCAGTAACTGCCTAGTTAATTAACCAGTGTAATTTATCATGTTTTATTAATAACTATTGATTGGGATATCATCTATGTGACATACAGTTCAGTAATCTTTAGTATTTTCTACAGCCCAGTAGTGTTTTGTATGTTTAGAGTTTTATCATCACTAGATGATAAATTTCATACAATAAAATCAATTTAAGACAATAGATTTTAGACTATTTTAATCACTCTGAAAAGGAACCTAAAGCCCATTAAGTCACTGTCCATTTCTGCTAACACCTGTGGCCACAATGCTAGACCACTGTTAACCGGTCTCTAAATCTATCTGTTCTGGAGAATTCTTCCACATGGAACCATACAATATGTAGCCTTTTGAGCCTACCTTCTTTTTTACTTAGCTTAACATTCTCAAGGTTTGCTTGTGTTGAGGCAAATAGTAGTAGTGAATCATATAGATTGTACGAATATACAACATTTTTATCTCATTAGTTCAAACTGGTGGCTATTTAGGTTGTTTCCACTCCTCTTGCATTATGAATAATGCTGCTATGAAAATCTCTTTCTAAGTTATTGTGTAAACATACATTTATCATCTCCCTTGAGTATATACACGAGAATGGAATGTCTGGGTCCTATGGTAAACCCAGAGGAGCCCTGGTGGTGCAGTGGTTAAGTTCTTGGCAGCTAACCAGGAGTGAGCCATCCAAGCTTAGCGGTCATTTTGTCGGAGAGAGATGTGGGCGTCTCTGTCCATAAAGATTTCAACCTTATCTGTGGGGAAATTCTGCTCTGTCTAACAGCATCGCTGTGAGTTAGACTGACTTGGTGACAGTGGGTGGAATTGAGTTGTTGCTATAGTAATTGGCCTAGAGGAACGGAAGTTATGCTACCAAGCCGAAGGTGGGTGATTTTTATCTGCGGCCCTTGGCCAGGTTCAAATTGTTTTCCTGTCAAACATTCTTCTAGGTGGTATAGTACTGGTCTGTGCGTTGCTGTACAGAGGTAACTCGTGCTTGCTGTGATGCTGAAGCCTGTGACAGTGATGTGCCAGTCATGGTAATGGGTACCCATGGTGGACAGTGTTGGCTGGAGCTTCCCGACTAAAACAAACCTGGAAGCAGGAGCGGCATCCACTTCTGAAATGGCTTGCCTCTGGAAACTCTATGTTGGAACAGTACTCAGGCTGTTCATTCATAGGGTCGCTATGAGTCGTCTACGACTCGACGGCACCAAACAACAACAACAACATAGTTATTTTATGGTAAGCACTATATGTAACCTTTCAGAGAGCTACCAGGCTGTATTCCAAAGGGAAATACATCAGTTTATGAGTGCCCCCATTTTCCCCCCTCATAACCTCAGCAACATTAGTTTTTATCTCTCTCTCTCTCTCTCTTTTTTGTTATAGCTCATTGCTGTCATTGTTAGGTGTCATCAAGTTAACTACAATTCATAGTGACCCTACGAGTGGAGATGTACACCTTGCCCTACCTTGCACCATCTCCTTCCTCTCCTTTATCATGATCCCATTATTGTCACTGTGTCTTTTTCTGTCTTTAAAGGCCTTCTTGTCTTTCACTGACCGTTTATCTTTCCCAGTCTGATGTCTTTTCTCCTAACAACATGCCCAAAGTATGTGAGACGAAGTTTACCATGCTTGCCTCTAAGGAGTACCCTCGTTACACTTCCTCCAAGGCTGATTTGGTTCTTTTTTTGGCAGTCCATGTTATATTGACATCCTCCTCCAACACTACAGCTCAAAGGCAACTATTCTTGGCTCTTCCTTATTCATTGCCCAACTTTCAGATGCTTAGGAAGGCGATTGAAAATACCTTGGCTTGCACCACACACATCTTATTCTTTAAATTGATTTGCTTTTTAGTACTTCAAAGAGATCCTTGACAGCCGATTCCCCAAAGTGAAGGCATTTAACTCTATAGATCATAACATATTATGTTAAAAATTAGAAGAATGAAGATCCCTAAATACTTAATTGTGATCATATGAAACTTGTACATCTACCAAGAAGCAACTGTTTAAAAGGAGGAAAGTTGTGTGTCAGAGTTGTATCCTTTCTTCATACCCAGTCAATCTGTATGCTGAGGAATCATTAGAAAAGCTGGATTATTTGAAGAAGAATGTGACAGCTGTATTGGAAGAAGACTTATCAACAACCTGCATCATGCAGGTGATAGAACCTTTTTTGAAGAAAGTGAAGATTTGAAGCCTTTACTGAAGATCAAAGTTGACAGTCTTCAATATGGATTATACCTCGATAGCAAGCATATTCTAACGCTTTCAAAGGGTAGTTTGAGAAGATAAAGTATTATAATGTACAGAGAGATGGAGTTAGAAAACCTAAAGGGGAGAGCCAGCTTAGTGCTTCTTGAATTGGGGAAAAAAAAAAAGAAAAAAACCCACCAAAAAAACAAGCCTTGAGTTGCAAAATTAAGAAATAAGAATTTATACGAATAAAATATTGAAAGATATAAGAAGTGTCAAGCAAAGAAGAAAGGAATATACAGAGTCACTATACCATAAAACTAATCAGCCGTCAACAATTGCAGTTCATCATAAATCAGTGGTACTGATGGAACTGGTGAAAAAAGACACCAGGAGTTGACAGAATACCAGTGAGGTTTCAGTGAATACCTGCAACCTTGGAGATGCTCAGTAGTCTATGCCAAAAAATTTAGAGGGCAATTGCCTGGCCTCCCACTGGAAGAGAATGAGAGAATTATGTACATGCCCATTCCAGTGACAATTAGGAGAACACTACAAAGATATTTACCTGTATTTTATTGACTATGCAAAAGCATTCAAGTATATGGACCATAAAGTACAATGAATAGCATTGAGGGGGGAGGAGGGATAGTTTCAGAACTCATCACTGTGCTCATGCAAAGCCTGTGCACAAACCAAGAAATTGTTTGAACAGAACAGTGGTATGCTGAGTATTTTAGGAAAGATGTGTACCAGGGTTGTATCCTTTTGCCATATGTATTCAGTCTGTATGCTGATCAAGTAAACGGAAACTGAGCTATAATTCTTTTAAATGTGGCGTTTAGAATTAGAGGAAGTACTATTACCAACCTGCAGTATGCAGATGACCCAACCTTGTTTGCTGAAAGTAAAAAAAACTTAAAACACTTGCATGGTCAAAGACTACAGTGTTCAGTATGGATTAAACTTCAACATCAAGAAAAGAAAAATTCACAGCTGGACCATAACATTATGATAAGTGGAGAAAAATCTGAATGTGCCAAGGATTTCATTTTACTTGAATTCACCCTCACTGCCTGTGGAAGCAACAGTGAAGAAAAGAAATGACATATTGCATTGGGCAAGTCTCCTGAACAAAAATCTTTGAAAATGTTCAGAAACTAATAGGACTAATGTGCATCTGACCTAAGTATGATATTTTTTCTTTCTTCCTGTGAAAGCTGGAAATTATATAAAGAAGTTTGAAGAAGAATGGTTGCCTTTGAATTACCATGTTGGCAAAGTATACTAAATGTGCTGTGGACAGAAAAAATACAGCAGAGTGATCTTTAAAATCAAAGATGCCGAGACTTTGTTTCATGTACTTTGGACGTGTTATTAGGAAGGATTAGTCCATGAACTAGGATGTTTTGTATCTTAAAGGGAGGTCTCTGAAAAAGAGGAAAACTCTCAGATAGATTGACACAGTAGCTGCCACACTACACTCAAAACAGCAACAGTTGTGAGAATGGCATAGTACTTAGCAGTGTTTCATTCTTTTATACACAGGGTCACTGAGTTGGAACCATCTTTAAGGTGTCTAAGCGCATTGACGGCATGTTACTATAAAATACACTTGTGCTGAATGCTGACGAGGATCCTTAGTTATAGAGCAAACAACCTTATAATGAGAAATGATTAGTTCAAGAAGATAGTACTAAATTTGTGGACCTATGCTGCTCTGTTTTGGCTTATTTTTTTTCTCATCCTGATTTAAAGGACTACCTGTTTCTGTGACTATGACATAGCAACCCTATGAACATTCAGTGTGTACCCTGCTCCTATCATGTGCCATCTTTGTCGTCTCTGATATACTTGAACCCATTGTCACTGGGTCAGTCCATCTTGCAGAGGGTCTTCTTCCCCTTTACCAGACCTTTTTTTACCTTTCCAAGCATGGTGTCCTTTTCTAAGGACTGGCTCCTATGGAATTTTCAGAATATCTGCAGGGAGATGATCACTGTAACAATAAAGCTAAGGGGAAGAAAAAAAAAACCCAAACCCAAGACATTTACCAAAGTATGATGCATACTAGTATGTTGATTCAAAAGACTACCCAGTCCCCACACATGTGTACCTGGCCCAGGTCAGCCTGTCTTCTGTGTAGGTATTAGTTGGTTTGGGGAGGCTGGTGATCACACAAAGGAGTATGTAATGGTGACAGGTCACAAAGGACAGCTGAGGATAAATGCAGTAGTATAAAGTGATTTAGGCAGAAGTCCTAGAAGGAGATGGGCAGTGGCCTTTGCTCTCCCTTTCTTGGGGACACGATTTGTAGCTGGCAGAGTTGTATTGAAAGAAGAGGACTATGAACAATGAAGATGTGTTACCTTATTACACTGCCAGCAGCTCCTGTTCGATGGGTGTGTTCAGTACCTCCATGGGAGATCTACAGCGACATCTGTATAAGGGTGGAGAGTATGACATGTTTAAGTATGCACCAGTGTTTGAGAGCAACTTTATCCAGATTAGCAAAAAAGGCGAAGTGATTGATGTACATAAACGTTTTCAAATGGTGACTGTGGGCATTGCATCTACCAGCCCAGTCCTCCCCCTGCCAGATGTCATGTTGGTGGCCCGGCCAGCTAGAGTCTATGGAAACCATAAAGGGTATAGCCGACCCACCAAAAGGAGAGGTCGCAAGGCCACAGAGACCTTAGAGCTTACCAGGCTCCTTCCCTTGAAGTTTGTCAGGATCTCTCTACACGATCGAGAAAAACAGCAACTGCGCCTGAAGCTTGCCACTGGCCGTACCTTTTACCTGCAGCTGTGCCCCTCTTCAGATGCACATCAGGAACTCTTTTGCTGTTGGGAAAAACTAGTCCTTCTCCTGAGGCCAAGAATGGAGAGCAGTACCCAATCCATCCAAACTGGGGATTTAACAAATACATCTGTATGCTTGACAGATGACAATAAAAACACAGTGGTAAGTATTTCCAGGGGAAAAGATCAAATGAGAACAGGGTGTTTTGGGAAAGCAGTGAAACACTGATTGTCCTATAAAGCCTGTGGTTTCCCCCTGGGATTCAACTGGAAAAAAAAAAAAAAAAAAAAAAGACTGCATTTAAAAATATACAAAAGTCAGCTAGGCCCCTAATACTCTCAGCCCATTGCTGTTGAGTTGGAACCTACTCCTGTCTGTTCTCCCAGTGAGTTTTCAAGGCTACAAATCACATGGGAGGAGACTGCTTATCTTTCTCCTGAGGAATCCCTTGTAGATTCAGACTGCCAGAGAGATGCCTCCTTTAGGTTAGGAGTGCAACTCCCTAAGGACTATGCCATCAGAGATCCCTAATAGGCCCTGGGTAGTGCAGATGGTTTGTCCTTGATTCCAAAGCTAAAGGGTGGCAATTGGTACTTACTCAGTAGTGATCGAAAAGAAAGGCTGGGAGAGTAGTGATAGCTGGAATAGCTGCAGACCACAAAACTTAAAGCCAGGAAAATCCTACAGAGCAGTTCTACTCTGTAACACATAGAGTTTCCATGAATTATTTTAGGTTTCCTGTTAGTGAGTTTACTCTTTAGGGCCAGGTTAGCGAGCCACTCCTAAGGGGATTCCCATGTTGGAGAGATCCTGAGTGCTTCTCCAAAGTATTCCACAAGACTCAATCTCAAGACATTAGGTCTTGGCTGATCTGGTCTCATCCTTCTGCCTAAATCTCTTCTACAGCATCTTAATTGTTCAAAGTGTTAGGACACTTTACTATTGCTGTAGGAAATTCTTTTTTCCTTTGAGCCATGATCGGTTGCCCCACTACTGCCATACACTAATTTTTATGAAAATAAGTGTAGCCCACAGGTGTGCAAGCAACTATGCATGTGCACGCTTTGTTAGTAGTCATTAAAAAAAAAGCAGAATGTATATGTACCTTCCCTCAGCAAGCCTACTTCTAATAATCTTATTTTGCAGAGAGATAAACATGTATGTAAAATAATGCACAAGGATGGGAAGGTGAATTCATGCTTTCCCTGACATTGGCATTATTCAAGCAATACTAAAGATCCTTTTGACAGAAGATGCTATATAGATAGAATTCTTTAACAAATGGGAGCTCTGACTTGATCTCAAAGACTCTTCTGATTACATGTCCTTGAGTTGCTCAGCACTAAGATGAGTGAGTCTCACTTCATCTTCTCTATTTCACCTGTTTTTTTCTCCCATTGGCATAGACTGCAGATCTCTGTGGAGAAGGGGATTGGGATGAAGGCAGGCTTTACAAGTTCCAAGAGGTTTCTGGAGCTACCTCTTCTGCTTATGCGGGAGGAGAAAGAATTAGAATCCAACCTTCTCGTGGAATGCCTGGTACCTCTTCAACAGCCCTGAACTCGCCAGGGTCTGCCAAAAGAGCAGCAGTGACAGAGGTGGCAGCAGGTCCCACACAGGGAGCAGCAGTAGCAGGGTCAGTAGAAGGTCTGTCAATGGGAGCAGCAATAGCAGGGGTGGTAGCAGGTTCCACAGCAGGAGCAACAACAGCAAGATCAACAGCCAGCTCCACAATGGGAGCTGCAGTAGCTGGGACAACAGCAGGCCATTCAGAAAGCACCATAAGTATTGCAATCACCAAGGCCTCAGGATCAGCACAGTCAAATGTGGCCCTGGCAGGAGTAGTCACAAAGAGTCCAAGAGTGAGTAGAAGACCCAGCAAGGCCATAGCAGGTACTGCCAGTGTGCCCGCAGAGAGTGCTAACATGGTGTTGGAAAGTGCTACAAGCTCATCTGCAGAGGGCAGTTCCACCCAATCAACAGTGGCAACCAGTTACTCCCCAGGAAGCAGCATGAACATGGTATTTGAAGGAGTAACAACCAGCAGACTTACTGCAGAGAATGCTGAATTACCCCTGCTCTTGACCTTGAAAAGTGAAGGCTACATGAGTGAGCGAGCTGGAAGACAGAGGGTGTCCAAGCCTAATACTGAAGTGGAGAAGGAAAAAAGGGGAAGAAGATCAAAGAGGGACAAAAATCCCCCTAGGAGAAGTTCTCATCACCATAGGAAAGGTAGGGACAAGTCATCCTGGAAGACATCCGCCCACTGGTCCTTAGCCAGCCGTGGAACCAGGAGAGAGGACAAAAAAGAGAAAGGTCATAGCAGCATAAAAGGCAAAAGACAGAGGCCCTCCTCTTGCAAAAGTATTAGCCACAGTCCCACCCTAAAGGAGTCAAGGACAACTCAGAAACTGGGGCAGACCCAATCTGCAACAAGTAGCTCAGCTCCAGTAGGTAAGAAATCCAGCAGGATTAGTTCATTCTTCAGGAGCTTCAGAGCTTTCCCTGCTTCAAGAGCAGTGATTGGATCTCATGTTAGGAGAAGTTCTCATCACCGCAGGAAAGGCGGGGACAAATCATCCCGGAAGTCATCCTCCCACAGGTCCTTAGCCAACTGTGGAACCAGGAGGGAGGACAAAAAAGAGAAAAGTCATAGCAGCACAAAAGGCAGAAGACAGGGGGCCTCCTTTCAAAAAAGCATAAGCCACAGTCCCACCTCAGAGGAGACGAGGACAACTCAGAAACTGGGGCGGACCCAATCTGCAGCTAGTAGCTCAGCTTCAGTAGGTAAGGAGTCCAGCAGGATTAGTTCGTTCTTCAGGAGCTTCAGAGCTACTCCTGCTTCAAGAGCAGCGATTACATCTCGTGAGAGAGAGTTGGACATTGTAGCCAAGACTGTGGAGAGGCGCACCATTGAGTCCAACTTGGAGACAGCACGTGAACATGTCCAGGATGTGGAGATCACTGGTACCTTGACATCTGAGACAACAGAGACAATCTTGGCATCTAAGGCCACTTAAGTAGGAGCCAGGGAAGGAAGCTGCAATAGAGACCAGGGCTTGGGGAATTATCTCTAAGGAGCCAATCCCAACTTTTATTAGTCAGTTAGAATAAATAATAAAACCATAAATACTAAATTACTGTTTGATTTGCTGTATCTCATAGCCTAGTCATGACCTCATTATGATATCAGTTGTGCTGTAGCCTGAGACCCCAGCATTTAGTTAAGCAGTGTGCCACTTCTCCCCTGAGCTCAGCCGTCATGTGGTGCCCTTTCTTCCTTTGGTTCTCACCACCACAACCATCCCTCTCCTAATCTTTCTACCCCCCTCCCTGAAGGCCCCTGAGTGTGGACATTCAAAGACAACAAAATAAGTTCCACAGCAGATGGATATTCAGGTGAATAAAGAGGGAGTTCAGTAATGTTTGTAAGCTCCACAGCAGATGGATATTCAGGTGAATAAAGAGGGAGTTCAGTAATGTTTGTAAGCAACCAGACAGAAAAGGCTACAACTTAGAACAAAGAATTAGCAGGCTACAGTCTAAGGGAAAATCTTGCCTAGATAGCCTATTTTTTCTAAAGAAAGTTTTATTGCAACATGGCCATGCCCATTTACTTTACATATTTTCTGTGGTTGCTTTCACACTTAAAACACTACAGAGTTGAGTAGCTACCATAGAGATTGTATGGTCTGCAAAGTCTTAATATTTACCATTTGGTCCTTTATAGAAAAAAAAATTACTGACTTTTAATTTAATCTTAAATTCTTTCCTTAAATTCTTTCTTAGATATAAATCTGGGAGCCAATAGGGGGAAATGTCTATTGTGAAAGTTTGTAGTAGCAAAACTGTAGAACCCAGATATTCATTTAAAAAAAGAGAGCTGATACATTCAGTGCACAGTGTGAAACTGAATAGCTGCACATGTCAGCATGGTTGCCTCTCACACAATGCTGACTTACTTTAATGAAAGTAAGTTAGAAAAATATATATACTTGGGGTAAATACTTGCTAAATGGATAGAGAAAAACCAAGGACAGATAAAATTCACAGCGGGGTGGAAAGAAAGATATAGAAGATATACACAAGGGATTCCGATAGAGTAAGAAATAGTGTTCTGTTTCTTAACCAGATGCACACACATGCTTTAATGTTGTAAAACAAAATAGATTTGAATTGTTGAAGGAAAAACCAATCAGCTTTGTAAACTTTCACTCAAATCACAATGAAACTACAAAGTATGCACAGAGGACTCCAATAAAGTGAGAATTGTCCTATTTCTTAAGCAAAAGCACAACATGTTTAATGTTACAAAACAAATCCTATTTGAATTGTGGAAGGGAAAATCAGTCAGCATTGTAAACTAACTCAAGTCATAATGTAAAGAAAAAGACGTGTATTAATGAAAATTTTAAATATCAACATGGTTTTAATATTGCAGTCTCTCTGGTTCTCTGCTCTAACTGTTGTAGCTGCTGCTCCTGTAGGCTCCTGACTGAGTGGTGCAGGAATTTTTGCCTCCAGAGAATGCACACTCTGCATTCTCTTGTTTTGTCTCTGTTGGTGATAAGATGCTCAATTTCTGCAGCCGAATCCATTCAATTTAATGGCAAGACTAACCAGTCAATCCCCTTACGAATAGACCTACACCCATTTATGTCCTTGCCCATGTGGCAAACTCAGTGACTAGAAAAGCCATTCTCAACAGTTAACCTTTGACACCACCCCCTGGCTTTTCTAGCCATTAACTTGTATTTGAAGAATTCACTTTCACTTTAATCATCTTACTAATAACTACATTCACAAAAGCATATATATATATAAGCCAGCTACTTCATTCCTTATTTTTAATATCCCCATTTTAGGTAGTCTATTTCTACCTTCCCATCCATATCAAACCAGTACTCAGAGGGAACAAGCATACCCCTTTTCCTGAAGAATTTTTTCTTTAGTTTTGACATCCTGCTCTGTAAATTCCTTATTAAAGTCTGCATCTTAAAGAAAACAGTGACAGGGTATTATTATCAATATGCTGGGATTGCCTCATTCTTTTGGAAGCAGGAGTGGCATCCACTTCCTAAATAACTTGCCTCTGGAAACTCTATGAACTTTGATAGATGTCAGTAGTTGTAGAAGGGCTTCAGGCCTTTTGTTCATAGGGTCGCTATGAGTCGTGCTCAACTTGAAGGCAAAAAACAAAAAACAACACCACCACCTTGTTCTTATTCACTTAATGTACAAGAAGAGTTCATGATAACCAAAAAGGCCAAAATATTGCATATATAATTTTTAAATACTTAAAACATATCAGCTTATTGAAAAAAATAAGTCCATTGCTGAAAATTTAGAACATGTGGATAAAAACGAAAATTTAAAATCACTTTGATAATCTTTATATTATTATTACTTGCTCAAAAATGAACTGGTTAGGAGTCACAGGAACTGCTAGCACCCTGTCTTTAGGCACTCTGTTCTGTCTCACTCCTGGTTGTCTGTCTCATTATTAATCATTATAAAAATACTTTACTCTTAGTCTACAACATTCTGGTGCCCGAACAGGGACAAGGTGGTGGTCTTTCTTTTTCTCTCTCTTTTTTGAGAAGGCACCAGGAACCAACAAAGAATTTGCTCCGGTAGCACGATGGCCACGATGAAGAAAAAACTGCAAGGACTCATGGCTGCAACCATCACACCGATGACTGAGAATGGAGAGATCAACTTATCAGTAGTAATTGGTCAATATGTGGACTATCTTGTGGAAGAACAAGGAGTGAAGAACATTTTTGTGAATGGCACAATGGGAGAAGGCCTGTCCCTGAGCATCTTGGAGCGTTGCCAGATTGCAGAAAGAAGAGTGGGCGACAAAAGGGAAGAACAAGTTGGATCACGTGGTGATTCATGTAGGAGCAATGAGTTTGAAAGAGTCACAAGAACTGGCCAAACATGCAGCAGACATAGGAGCTGATGGCATTGCTGTCATCGCGCCTTTCTTTCTCAAGCCGTGGAACAAAGAGGCTCTGGTTAGTTTCCTAAAGGAACTGGCAGCGGCAGCTCCTACACTGCCATTTTATTACTACCACATTCCTGCCTTGACTGGGGTGAAGATTCGAGCTGAGGAATTGCTGGATGGAATTCAAGATAAGATCCCCACCTTTGAAGGGCTGAAATTCAGTGACACAGATCTCTTAGACTTTGGGCAGTGTGTTGATCAGAATCGCCAGTGGCAGTTTGCATTCCTTTTTGGAGTAGATGAGCAATTGTTGAGTGCGCTGGTGATGGGAGCGACTGGAGCAGTGGGCAGTACCTATAACTACCTGGGGAAGAAGACAAACCAGATGTTAGAAGCTTTTGAAAAGAAGGACTATTCTTCTGCTCTGAATTATCAGTTTTGTATCCAGAGATTTATAAGCTTTGTGATCAAATTGGGTTTTGGAGTGTCACAGACCAAAGCCATCATGACTCTCGTCTCTAGGATTCCAGTGGGCCCACCCCGACTTCCTCTGCAGAAAGCCTCCAGAGAGTTTACTGACAATGCTGAAGCTAAACTGAAGAACCTGGATTTCCTTTCTTTCAATGATTTAAAGGATAGAAATTTGGAAGCTTGTAGCTAGTCCCTCTTGATCAAATGTACACATTGAAAACGCAATCACTCCTTGCCCTTTTGGCTGGGATCATGTGAAGTATTTGTTCTTCTCAGTTTAGCACTTGATACATCCTCGATTAGAGGACAGTATTCAATGGATTTGGGGGATTAGGAGATGGAAGAGGAGCTTGCTCTGTCCACTCTACATATCACCTGCAGTACCTCCAGGAACGCTGTATGAACAACAACAAAAATATATTATTTACCTAGTAATCCACTATGAGTCGCAAACGACTCGATGGCACATAACAGCAACAACATTAATCCACATTATATACTCATTTCTCAGGGATTTTTTTTAGATGAACTAAATTTTCTCCTACCAAATTAAATCACACATTCAGTAAATCAATAATTACTTACCAAATACCTATTAAGATAGGTAATACCCATAATTTTGTGAATGGAGCAAAAATGCAAAAAGCATTTATGAGCCCTAAAGTTTTCTAATTTTAAAGCATTACAATGTACTCCCATTTTAATAAATATTTTGTTGTTGTTATGTGCCGTCGAGTCATTTGCGACTCATAGCGACCCTATGTACAACAGCCCTAAACCCTGCTCTATCGTGTGCCAATTGCATTGCCTCTGATACACCCATCCCGATTACCCCAGTCACTGAATCAATCCACCTCAAAGAGGGTCTTCCCCTCCTGCGCTGTCCCTCTACCCTACCAAGCATGATGTCCCTCTCCAAGGACCCGTCTCTCCTTACAACATGTCCAAAGTATGTCAGATGAAGCCCCAGAATCCTTTCCTCCAAGGATTAGCCTGGTTTAACCCTCTCCAGGACGAGTCTGTTTGTTTTCTTGGCAGTCCATGGAACATTCATTACTCTTCTCCAGCACCACAGCTCAAAGGCATCAATTCTCCTTCTATCCTCCCTAGTCATTGTCCAACTCTTTGATGCATAACAAGTGATTGCAAAGACCATGGCCTGTATCAGGCGTACCTTAGTCTCCAGAGAGACACCATTGCTCTTGAGTATTTTAGAGAGGTCCCTAACCACAGACTTTTCCATCGCAGTACGTTTTTTTATTTGCTGGCTGCTGGTGCCAAGAGTACTGACTGTGGAGCCAAGCAAACTGAAGCTGTGAACAATCTCAATCTCTTTGCCATCCATCCTGATGCTACCAATTGGTCCAGTGGTGAGAATCTTTGTTTTCTTGACATTGAGCCTCAGTCCATACTGAAGGCTGCAGTCCTTGACCCTCTACACTAAGTGCATGAGGTCCTCCTCAGTTTCAGCGAGCAGGGTTGTGTCATCTGCATAATGCAGATTGTTGATAGATCTTCCACCAATCCTAATGCCACGCTTCTCCTCATAAGAGCCCAGCCTCTCGGATAATCTGCTCTGCATACAGGTTGAAAAGGTAT